TTGGAGGGGTGAGGTGGGCAGCACAGGGGGAAGGGATACTGGGCTGGGTGAGAAGGCCAGCAGCTGGCTCCAGGGGAGGGAGAGAGGAACCCACACCGGAGCATGAGTTGCCGGTACATCCAATGGGGATGTATGTGAGTCCGTGTTCACACGTGTCTGTTGCTAAACCGAAGCGCCAGAGACAAGGCAAGTCGCAGTCAGAAACAGAGTGGGGAAGAAACATGTTCCCGGGTTCAAGTCTACTCCCTACCATCCCTGCCCAAGGCACCTCTGACTCAGGGAGTTTTGCTGCTGGGGACCAGTGTGGGCAGAAGTGGTATGACTCCCCAGAAGAGTCAGGGACCCAGGCATCAAGCTGCCCGCCCCGTGGCTTCCTGTGTACCCATAACCCAGGCTCTTCTTCCCTAAAAAACCCTGGGTGCCCAGCCCCCTAGGCTCAGCCCCATTCTCCAACCACAAAAGCAGCCAGCCAGGAGCATCTCTGGAGCTAGTCGGCAGGGGTCACAGCCTCTGCCCTGCCCACCCCCCGCCCCCGGACTTTAGGTCCCCTCCCGCTGTCTTCCATCTGCCTGGAGGTCAAGGGCTCCTCCTGCCCCACTCTGTCTAAGGGGACCCCTGCCCCTCCCCCTGTCCGAGCCAGCCGCCCGGGGCCTGAGAGGTGCGGGCGCTCTGGGAGGGGGGCTGCCGACGGAGGCCAGGTGCTGGGCTGTCTGGAATTTACTCCTGTCCTTCGGAGCCTGCACTGGGGCAGCCTGAGGTGGGGAGGCTTGAGGGGGGGGGGGTGGAAGGGCTGGTCCCTGCCCCTTAGTGGGGGTTGGTTGTCATGGCAACATCCCCTTCTCCACACAATGGGAAGCCCCCCTCAGCCTCCCGCGTGGATGGAGCCGACAGCCCCATCGCTGGCTATCAGCCTCAGGGACTTGGCAACCGTCACTATGGCAACCCAGAGCCCAGCAACAGGGCCCAGTGAGAAAGGGAGGGGTCCAAGACTGGGGCAGGGCTGTGTGTGTGAGGGGGCAAGGGAGCCGAGGGAGAACCAATCCGCCCTCCCCAACAGACATCCAGAGGCGCAGGTGGAGGGACGATGAGAGGGAGAAGTGGGGATAAATAGTCTCGGTGACAAACACCTCGCCGAAGCAGCCAAGACATCGTAACACGCTGAGGGACAGGAAGACACCTGGGGACAGATGCACAGCTGGGGACAGGAGCTGCACATTCTGCACAACATCCCGGGACACACCCCCTCGGAACGCTGGCGTCTCCGGACTCCCCCCCTCCGCGCGCAGGGGCAACACGGGACTTGCAGCCTGCCACACGCGCAGCTCTCGAGCTATTTGAAACGACTGGTCACTTCCACATAGAACCACACATGCCATTCTGTTCTCTTCCCAGGTCCAAACACGCCAACGTGCCCCCCAGGTAACGGCTACCTCGAAACGAAGAGAGGGGGCAGGAACACATTCGTTTTTTGTTCTTGTTGTTGTTCGCTTGTTCGCTCGACATCCCATTAAGTGTCTACTTTGTTCCAGGAACTCTTTCGGGCCCTGGGAATATAGAGTAGATGCAGCAAAGTCCCTGCTTTCACCAAGCCCACGTCTGGGTGGGGGACAACCCGATAACGTTTCTGGCAGTGACAGGTGATATAAACAAACCAGAGTAACGGGATGAAGAGGCTGGAGAGTAACAGGGAGGTGCTTTAGGTTAGGAGGTCAGGAAGGTCCCACTGAAGAGGTGACATTTGACTCCGACCTTGAGTGAGTGATGTGGAGGAAGGCTCTGGGAAGGGCACACCCCACAGAGAGAACAGCAAGTGCAAAGTGCAGAGGTGAGATCTCAGCATGTTTGGGAAGAGCGAGGAGGAGCTCGCAACCAGCAGACGTCCCAGGTGTGTCTTGTCCCTCAGCAGCCTCAGCCTGGAGGGGGGCAAGTCACGTAGGGTCTAGAATCCACATTTAGGAAGTTGGTCTAACTCGGTATTCCTGTTCTCCCATTCAGATGTTGTGCATGAGTTGTGTTTTCCTCAACTACCTTTTGAGCTCTGGAAGGGCAAGGAAGATGCTCTGACCTTTGTGGGGGCCATGGCACAGCTGCTGGTACAGGGTCTAGAGTGGGCAGGCCGAGAGGAAGTAGGGGAACCCTGAGAACCGGGGGCCATAGAGGCTAAAGCTGCACATACCCTCCCAACCCCCACCCCCAGGCCCAAACAGCAGAGGCTGTCCTGGGGGCTGAGCTGCACACGGAGGCTCACACTTTGCAGGATGTGAATTAGGTGGACGTGTGTGTGTGTGTGTGTGGGGGGGGGGTATGTTGGGGGGTTTTAAGGAGAGGGGCATAGAGCAAAGGGCTGCTGTGGGAATTTCCGATAGGGAATGGTCGACATCCCAAGTGGAATTTCAGTTAGAACGAAAAATGGAGCTTCCTAAGGGGCTATGTGAGGAATCGCAAACAGGGGGCCCCCCTTCCCCCAGGGAAAGTTTCAAGATCTGTAGGCAGGCTGGGGGAAATGCTGCAGGATGGCTTGGAGGCAGGGGGCTGGCTGGGATAGGCTCAGAATTTGGGGGGCAGCATGGAAAGGAGTGAACGCAGGGCAGGAGGAGATGTCTGAGATGTAGCAGGGAAGGTGGAGTCCTGAAGGGAGTTCTCAGGGGACCAGGTCCGAGGGACCCCCCCCCAACCCGATTCCCACCAGGAACTGAAGCATTTGGGGTCCTGGTTCTCCCTCTTCCCCCCTGTGCCCTCAGAAACTCAGGCACCAGCTCCCTCCAGCTCCGGTGCTTGGAGCTGCTGCTGCTGCTGCTGCTGCTGGTGACACTGAGCAGCCTCAGCGGGCGGCAGCTGGTGAGTGGGGAGCAATCTGTGTGCTCAGCAAACAGCAGTCTCAGTGCCCGGTGGCTGCCTCCTCCCTCATCAATCAGCCCCAGCCAAATGTCCTCGGATTCCCACCACCCCAAGGGGACTGGGGCTGGGCCAGGGTCCCCAGGGGAGTGAGATGGGGATGGGTGGGG